GTGTGTGTGTGTGTGTGTGTGTGTGTGTGTGTGTGTGTGTGTGTGTGTGTGTGTGTGTTTAATGAACCAACCTCAGTGTTAGCACCTCAATGCTGGGCATCTGAGAGAAGATTGAAATCTGAAAGAACATTTATACAATTCAATATGTGCAGGATTGTTATTAAATTACAAATTCATTGCCACAATAAAATCAACTGTTTAACAACTCACATCAGTCAGGTTACACCCCCTGAAAAATAACACATAAAATAAAAAAATAGTATAAGTTGTACCAGTGCAACACAGCAATGAAAATGTCCAAGAACAGCCGAATTTAAGCTCTTACCAGCAATTTAGTTTCTTCACACTTTCCAGGTCCGAGGCCTTAGCCTTAGCGAGGACCAGTTTCCGTGTTAGCTTCATAGCATATCACCAACCTTACTCAGAATTAAAGATTATTTTCAGAGGAATATTTATGTAAATCCTAACAAACAACGGAGGCCCCATTATAAAGGTGCTGAACGGACAAACATCTCAACTCAGCTCAAAGAAATGTTGTCGTTTATTACGTCAGTACGCATGCGCGGTTCTAATGAAGCGTCCTTAGTTACGGCTAAAAAAATTATTTTATGTACGAGGTTTTACTTGTAACTTTGTCAAACACGTACAACAATAAACCAATATAAAGATTATTTTCTTTGGGGGGAGAGAAATTACATTTATTACAAGTACTTGTGTTTTGTAAGGATCTACGTTGTATAAAACTCAAACTCCCACAATGCATCGTCACCGACAAATCGCGCCTGCGCGTTGCGTAAGGCCTCTTTGACCCTACGTCTCCACTGAAACGATGGTGAGGCTATTGTAGCTCCGTGATAATCCGTGTTAATCTTTCAGTTGTGGTGCTATAAATGATTCTTTGACTTATTCGGAGACTTTATGGTGACCCGAATTAGTTGTCTTATTTGAAATTTCTATTACTTTGGCGATCGTTGCAATAAGAAAGACGATATTTTTATGTCCCACTAAAACAAAGATGGCTGCCACCATAAAGCTTTTCTCAAAGGGCTTCGGCGCTGGACAACTTAGTCGCAGTAGCGTACTGTCACACCACAGTTCATTTATTTGATACCTTTACTGAAGTCCCGCAGTTAAAGTAAATTGAGATAATGAGTGTTGGTGTGAGGAGGACAGCTAGCTAAGCAGCTATTGTAGACTTAACACTCGTAGACCGGAACAATCTTTAGCACAAAGTGTGTTGATGTAGGTTACATCAACACACTTCGTGCTAAAGTGTGTTGATGTAAGTTACAAATTCTGCTCAGGACATTGTAAATAGAAAAACACTACCCAGCACACACTTGTTAATGTGATACCGGAGTGTATTACACAACCAGATGAATAAACCCAGCCCAGTAAATAGCTAATAATATATTTAATGATATATTTATTTTTCTCATTGWCACTGAGTTTTGTGTTGTGTTGTCTTCAGGCCAAGCGCACCAAGAAGGTGGGGATTGTTGGTAAATATGGCACGCGTTACGGCGCGTCGCTGAGGAAGATGGTGAAGAAAATTGAAATCTCTCAGCATGCTAAATACACCTGCTCCTTCTGTGGCAAGGTGAGTATCACRTGTCAAATCTTTATTGAGTTCTGCTTTCTCGTTTTATATAACTAGAAATGTCTGCGAGGTGACTTCTGTAAGTCTWATGATGTAGAAATTTATTAATCTTGTGATCAAAAGGTGAAGTTGTCTTTTTAAAATCTCAACTCYTAGACAAAAATGAAGAGGAGAGCTGTCGGCATCTGGCACTGTGGATCCTGCATGAAGACAGTGGCTGGTGGTGCCTGGACGTACAAGTATGTTGCTTTTTATTTTTCCTGTTGTTCATTCTGCAGTCCAGTGTCTTCGTCGGCTCAGTACATACTCTTCAGTCTATGTTTAAAAGCTTTTCTGCTGTGTCTTAGTAACTATCTGTAGGCCTATTTCAGAGCATAGTTCAGCCCTTGATTGCATAGGTTTAACACTTAATAAATAATAATAATAAAGGGTAAGCAGACATGTTTTTCCACGTTTAGTTAGATTTACCTAATGATTTTGTATCACGGCTGCATTATATTATGAGATTATATTGTTAATGTTGACATATAAGAAGAAAACTGCATTTCCACTTTAATTGTGTAACTTGCTCAAATATAAAAGCTGTGTTTCCTCACTGCTTAATTTGATATGTAGAGTGTGAAGTTGCACATGAACAGGAGATTTCATCCTCTCCCGTGGCATCTCGATGGCTCAYATTTGGAAAAGATGAAGCATTTGAACGTTCAGGTTTCTAGACTGAAGAGATTTTTACACAACATGCTGTTAATTTAAAACTAAGCAGATAAACACAAGGGTTTTTCAGTTTTTAAAAAGAAACACTGAGCTTCAGAACTTGGTCATATCCAGTTTATCATGATGATTTATGAGTTTTCTTTTTTTGCAGCACAACGTCCGCTGTCACAGTCAAGTCTGCGATCAGGAGGCTGAAGGAGTTGAAGGACCAGTAAACCCGTACGCAGCCATCACTGGTGGATTTAGGACTTTTTCTATAATTTAACCAAGCTGGACATGGCCTCAYCATTCAGAAATAAAGCTGTCTTGAGCGGAGTGTTTTGTTTCTGTCCATTTGTTTTACGTGGAAAATTATTTTAAAATTTAAGTTTAGTGTCATCACTGGTTATTCTTAGCTGAGTGAATGGATTTAAAAAAACAGAATTTAGATGATAATCTTTTTCAAAAGATAATATTTTGTAGGTCCTTGCAACAGGTTTCTCAGATACAGCGGGTAAAATAAGTATTGAACARGTCACCATTTTTCTCAGTAAATATATTACTAGAGGAGCTAATGACATGAAATTTTCACCAGATGTTGGTAACAACCCAAGTGATCCATACATACAAAGAAATCAAACATAAATGTCCAGAAATGAAGTTATTTGTAATAATTCAATTCAAAAAGATTTATTGATCCCCGAGGGAAATTAGGTGTTGTAACTCATTTAACTAAAAACTTATTGTAGATGCTGATGGCTGTGGGCAGGATAGATCTGTAGCGGTCTGTATTACAGTGAAGTTGAATGTGGAATTGAAATTTATCTAATACTTTGTACAAAAGCCTTTGTTGTCAATGACAGCTTCAAGACGCCTCCTGTATGGAGAAACTAGTGGCATCCATTGCTCAGGTGTGATTTTGGCCCATTCTTCCACACAAACAGTCTTCAAATCTTGAAGGTTTCGTGGACCTCTTCTATGAACTCTGATCTTTAGTTCTTTCCATAGATTTTCTGTTGGATTCAGGTCAGGTGATTGGCTGGGCCATTCCAGCAGCTTTAGTTTCTTRCTCTGAAACCAACTGAGAGTTTCCTTGGCTTTGTGTTTGGGCTCATTGTCTTGCTGAAATGTCCAGCCARGTTTCATCTTCATCATCCTGGTAGATGGAAGCAGATTTTTATCAAGAATGTCTCTGTACATTTTTCCATTCATCCTTCAATTATTTGAAGTTTGCCAGTACCATATGCTGAAAAACAGCCCCACACCATGATGTTCCCACCTCCAAATTTCACTGTTGGTATGGTGTTTTTGGGCTGATGTGCAGTGCCATTTGACCTCCAAACATGATGTGTATTCTGGCATCCAAACAGTTCAATGTTGGTCTCATCTGACCAGACTATATTCTCCCAGTATTACACAGGCTTGTCTAAATGTTGTGCAGCAAACTTTAAAGGAGCTTCAACATGCTGTTTCTTCAGCAGTGGAGTCTTGRGTGGTGAGCGTGCATACAGGCCATGGTGGTTCAGTGCATTACTTATTGTTTTCTTTGAAACAAWCGTACCTGCTAATTCCAGGTCTTTCTGAAGCTCTCCACAAGTGGTCCTTGGCTCTTGGACAACTCTTCTGATAATAATTCTTTCTCCTCTGTCAGAAATCTTGTGAGGAGCACCTGGTCGTGGTCAGTTTATGGTGAAATAATGTTCTTTCCACTTCTGAATTATGGCCCCAACAGTGCTCACTGGAACCTTCAGAAGTTTAGACATTCTTCTGTAACCGATGCCATCATTATGCTTTGCAACAATAAGGTTGTGAAGGTCTTGAGAGAGCTCTTTACTTTTACCCATCATCAGATGGTTCTTGTGTGATACCTGGCCATCATTTGGGACTGAACCAGCTGACATTAACTTGCACTGACAAGGGGCAGGCTTGCTTTCTAATTACTGAGAGAGTTCAGCTGGTGTCTTGGCTTTCCATGCCTTTTTACACCTCCCTTTCTTCATGTGTTCAATACTTTTCCCTGTGCCATTCCACATTATTACAAATAACTTGTAATCACTTGGGTTGTTACCGACATCTGGTGAAAATTTCATGTCATTAGCACCTCTAGTAATATATTTACTGAGAAAAATGGTGACATGTTCAATACTTATTTTACCCGCTGTAGGTTTTGTTGATATTTGAGAGCCCCTGGTACCCCCACCCTCAGATTTTCTTGGCCATCTTCAAGTTGAATTTATGCTTCTTGTTGAACTTCAAATCAAACTTGATTCTCAGTTGGATCGAGGTCTGACTTTTGCCTGAACCGTTCCACATGACTGTAGCTTTGTCGTCGTGTTTAAGAACTGCAGGAAAAGTCTCACATCTACAGCACTGCTGCAGGTTTCCTCAAGCAATTTCTTCTATATGTAGTTTTATACATCTCTTCTGAAACTGACCAGTTTTCCAGTCCTCACAAAGGAAAAACCATCCTCATGATGATGCTGCCACCACCATGCTTCAACATGATGGTCAAAATGTTCCAAATTTAGTCTTGTGTGACAGCACCTTACATGTTTGAGCTATCTGCAGTATTTGGAGATATGTCAAATACCAAATGATCTGACCATTCTATGAAACCAAGTTTTTTGCAGCTTTTTAAATTTCTTTTGAATAAAAAAAATTCCAATTTTTGCAGAAAAATTGCCCAGCTTTACTAGATTTATTTGAGTACTTCTCTAAATAATACCCTCCCTATCTGGTGAGCTTTGGTGGATGATTCTCTTTTTATTTTCAGGGTTTGTCAACAGGTGAATTGTACACTGTCATTTAAAATACTCGCAGGTGGATCTTTTAATTATTTGGGTAATGGAGCTTCAGATATAATGGGGTGAATGCAGTGTTTGTGTGTGAAAAGCTTTGAAACTTACTGTATGAACTTTTTCACGAGATACTCAAACGTCACTTCTGAAAGCTGTGATTAATGAACGGCCAAAGACAGCTTAAAGGTGGACTGGTTTGTGCGGGCATTGTATTTTATGAAGGCGCACAGTTCCTGCAGGTGACTGCAGTTTAACAAGTCTCCAGCAGGGGGCGCTGTTCATGCAGACAGAAACATGGCGGCGTCCAGTGTGTTCAGACCAGGGTTGTTCAACCATAAAGTAGCGATAGTGACCGGTGGAGGCACTGGGATCGGTAAAGCTATCTCTGCGGAGCTGCTGGAGCTCGGTGAGTCAAACTATGTCGCTGTGAAACATCATTTTCTATCAATTTGTTAACACAAAACCCATACAATGTGAGCGACATCCTAACAACAGCCAAGTGAACTTTGACACACAGCAAAAACCAGCGAAAACCTTTAAAAAAATGTGACTATTAAAGTTAAGAATAATTATGTAGAGTTAAGTTTAGGATGTAAATTTTAAGCTTTATTGTGACATTCAATGCAACTTCCAATAACTTGAGAAAAAAAATCAGCAGCAGTCAGGCTGATAACAGGGTAAAGTATTTCAGTGTGGCAGAGCTGCAGTTTTTCTAATGACTGACTCCCTCTCTGCAGGCTGCAATGTGGTGATCTCCAGCAGGAAGACTGAAAGGCTGGAGGCAGCCGCTCAGGAAATGAGACAAAAGATCCCTCCAAGCAGTCCTGCAAGCGTCACCCCTGTCCAGTGTAACATCCGCAACGAGGACGAGGTGAGCACACATCCGGCCTCTGAAATGTGCTGCAGGTTTGTCGATCTGCRCGGTGCTCGCTCGCCTGACCTAACGGTTCGTTCCCGTCCTGCAGGTGAAGCATCTGGTCTCGTCTGTGCTGAGACAGTTTGGCAAGATAGACTATCTGGTGAACAATGGAGGGGGTCAGTTCAGCAGCCCTGCAGAGCACATCCCCTCCAAAGGCTGGAAGGCTGTGGTAGAAACCAACCTCACTGGAACCTTCCACTGCTGCAAGGAGGGTATACTGTGTGAAAAAGAGAGTAAAAGGGTTAACATTAACG